AGTGGGGCTACAGGAACTTCTTGACAGCCAATCTGTCTCTTATCACCACTTCTTTTTCCTTCCTTTTTTTCCTTTTTGTTAATGTTCTTTTCTTTAGTCTACAAACTCCAGAACCCTCTATTCTGAAAATGGATTGTTTCATTATTATGTACTTGTTGAACTTAGTTACTGGTGCTTTCTTGAAAAGAGAAAATTTTCCTAGCAAAGGAAATCCCTGAAACTTACCAGGTTGGAAATTTAAGGGACTCAAGATCAGCTTTTAAATGATTCCAATTCTGACCAGATCTCTGTACCTGACTCCAACCTCTGCTTCCAGGACCATGGACTGAAGTTTTAGATGGTGACAGGTAGTTTTTGTTCTCTTACTCTTGAAGGTATTTGACTTCAAAGAATAAAAAGACAATGATTCTCAGAAGACAACTACTCCTGTGCTTCTGTAAATAAAACCATCTAAAATTAAAAATCTGAAAATTAAATCACCTAAAACAAAGACTTTTGGAAATGCTACCCAAATAATCTGTGATCTGCAAGGCCCTTCCTCTTTGTACACAGACTCAAATGTTTTCAGAAGAATTTTCCACAAGACCATTTCTTCTTTGTAGCAAGTAGGGGAGTGAAAAGCTCCTTGAGAATCCCTGTGACATTTCAGAGACAGACGCAGTTTCCCAGAAATTCTGTGAATATCCTGACCTCCACAGCACCAGGATTTCCACATCTCCCCACACACAGTGGCCTAACAGTGTAACACAAACACTGCTCACTCCTGGCAGTGTCCACCCTGTCCTGCTCAGCCTTTGCCACAGTCACCCTGCAGGACCAGAGCTCAGCACAGGGCTTATTCCCAGCCCTTTGTGCCCACACTCATCCTCCATGCAGCCATTCCCATCAGCAGCACTTCCAGAGACACATCCCACCCCAGAGCTCACAGCAAACCCCAAAGGCCCGTGGGGGCCTTGCCTGCTCCTCTTGGAGCCCTGTCAGCACACAAAGGGTTCAGCCCACAGCCTCCCTGCAGGCCTAAAGCAAATCAAAATGGTCTCTGAATTCCAACCTGTATCCAAGCATGTCACCTATTGCCAAAAGGAGGAGCAGTATTTGGGGTACTGATCAGCCAAGAATCTGAATTAACCCTTGTTGCACACAACCTCAGTGACACAGCTCTGTACTTCTGGCCCCTAGGAAGTCCTTTGCTCTGTTTTGGGAAAAAAAAAAATCACAAAAATCTTAAACTGAGCAGGTGGTAGAAGACACAGCATAATGCATTTTTATGGACCCTCCATATGTCCTTTCCAATAAGCAGTGAGATAAATTCTAATCTCACTTACAGTCGTGCAGCCCTACTCAAATCTTGCAGCTTAGAACCGCTGCAGAAGTCATCTGTGAAATTCATGTTGCCCATGGTGCATCCATTTTTTTAAATTAAAACAAACCCAAACAAAATCTCAAAGGCCTCATTTAAGTTGACCACATATATACCCTGAGTCACCTTGCCAAACTCTCTATGGATTTGTACCTCTAATCTCTTCCTTTATCTCAGTTTCTCCAGTTCTAAACTAATGGTAGTGACACACACTTGACTCCCAAGTTGTGACACAAAGCTGAATTCATTCAGTGCTCTCCAGCGCCAGAAGAGACTTAGAGATGAGCAGTGCCACAGCATGTCTGGGTATTTCTATGTGTAATATGGATTTTTAATATTATTCCAAAATGAACACACATTCAAGGTGTGTTCAGACTTCTGTATTTCTGATAACATTCAGGAATGTCAAAGCTTAAAATCTAAGAAATAATTGCTCTCTAAGTGCATGCTAATGGCTCGCTCTGCAGATGGAAAATAAAAAGCTTATGTTTTCTTGTAAGCACAGGGTGACACTGGTTTATTTCTTTCAGAAATACTCACAAAAGCCAGGATTTTTCTGTATATATGTGACCTTGATTCCTAGATGGCACATGGGCTACTTAGAGATCATGTTACTAAGTTATTTGCAGTTAAAGAGGAAAAAAAGGCTAAAATTAATGGGTCACTGGGTATTTTCTTCTGAGAACTTAACTACTTAACAGTAAGAAAAAAACAGTTTACAGCCAGGTGGCTTGAGGGGATATTTTGTTGAACACTGATTAAAAATAATTTCTTCTAAATGAGACCTGACCACAAAATGGGACCATTAACGAGCAGGGACATTCTCACCAGAAAGGAAACTATGCTTGATCAACTCCTGCACCGCCCACAAACCCCAGGTCTTGTTCTCTCTCTCTCACACACCCTCTCTTTTGCTTCTCCCCCCCTGCTTTTTCTGCGCTCCCCTTTTCTTGTTCCTAATAGCAGGGTAAATAAGCAGCAAGTGATGCTGAAATGTTTTCGGCCAAAAACAGAGGCCAAACTCCTCTGAGAAAACATTTGGCCTCTGTGGTTTTGTAATATGTTCCAGAACACTGAGTTCACTGAAGAACATTGTGAAAAACTCCCATCGGCTGGAGTGATGCTGGGGAATGTTACTGTATCCCAACTTCCAATTGGTCCATTTCCTGCAGGCCTTGTTAAAAAAAAAAAAAAAAAAAAAGAAAAGGAAAAAAAAAGAAAAAAAATAGTGCTATGTGGGAGTTAAAACAAGTTCTCATGGGAAAAATGAATGGCAAGAAATTCTAGCTTTAAAAGAAACAGCTAATCTGCTAGTTTGATTGTTCTTCAAAACTTACAATGAACCAATAATCCTAATTAAAACCACTTGGCCTAGTTCTCTAAAGCATCATAGCTTTTTCTATGCTTCGTTTGTACACACCACAGACTATTAGTTTTTTTCTAGTGCTCACTAACAAAGTGCTGACTTTGTTGGGATGGCTGAGCTAATTTCGTGAACTCAGTGTGAAACCTTAGCTAAACAAAATTGTGGTAATTTTCCTTAATTTGTAAAAGTGATTGGAGTGCAAACAAAATTTTCCTCTTGGGTCAATCCTATAATTTTCAATTAACTAAAACTAATCGGCAGGCATGTACTGAACCTGCATTTTGTTTAAAGGGCTGGAAGGCACTTCTGAAGATCAGGATGCATTCATTGTTTTTATTTTAGTTTCATTTAGTCCTTTTAAAAAAGCTACATTTGAGTTCAGGCTGGGTCTAAAAGGAAAATGCAAATTGTGTGAGGTAGGATTTCAGTCACAACACCTTTTCTGCATCTATTGTAACTCTGTAAGTAACTGCATGAGAGAATTGTCCATGGACTGCATCACCTTTGATTGTATCATTATTGTTTAGTATTTCATAACGTCCATTTACTGGATGAAAAATACTGTGTTTTAAACACCAACCAGAAAATGCATACATGGAAACACTCTCCCTACTGGGACACTTTATTTCCACATTCAGCCATCTGCTTCTGGGCAGACAAGCTAAACTGCTGCCCTTTTTTTTACTGGAAAAGCTAATTAATGATGATCTGAAAAGCAACACCAAAATGGGTCCAGGACATTTTTACATTTAAAGTCATCAAAAATTTCTTTGCAAAGATAAGGGGAGCAGGTTTGCCCTTCTTTTCCCTTCCATATCCATACCTGCCATTTCACCAGCCCCAGGGGCAGCCACCCCCGTGGGGTGACAACAGGCAGGACAGCACAACTTCCTGCTAGAAAGAGAGGATGGAAAGGATTCACCTCAAACAGTCCAAAGCTCTGGGCAGCACCCTCCTGTCATGGTTCACACCATCAATTTGACCTTTGCTATTCCTTTTCTTCCAACACATTCAAAACTCTAATTAATTTTTTGATATGGTGTGTTATTGTCCAATATATGGATTTCCCACGCATTGCTGGAATCATAATGTTCCCAAATAACACACACAGCTTCCACAAGTGCCTGCTGCTCAGCCAGCAGGGCAATATGTGAGAATTTTAAGAGTCAGTTTAAAGAAACCCAGTGCATAATCTCATCTGGGGGAGAGGGTATTTGAAGAAGACAAGAAAAAAATTGTAAGGCACCTTTGTTCAACTTGCTTAGTATTAGCAAAATCAAATGAGAGTTTCCTGGCCAGCTGGAGCACAGAATTCTCTCCTCTGCCTTGAGTCCCTGTGTGTCCACTGAGAGCTGGAGCAATGTGTGAGCCCAGTGGAACTCAGAATGCCTTAGTCACAAGTATTTATGATAGATCCTAAAGTTCCAGGGGAAATTGAGGATGAGGAAATGAATTGTACTGGGTTGTGCTGAACCACAGTTCAGGCAAACAGCTCCAGCATAGTCCTGTCTGTAGATGTGAACAACAAGTGCATTAAAATCACATCAAAACCAGGGCAAAGCTGCTAATTCCTGTAGCACACACCTTCAGAGGAACCAATGACACACATCCTTTTTAAAAAGTTCGGCTGCTACTTGATTTATTTCCCAGGCCATTCTTATAACTACTGAGAGTGGTTTGACACTGACAGCACCTGCAATGTTCCAGTGTTTTGGGGGTATTTTTGTTAGTTTTTTTGAGGCCAAATCACTCAACTTAGTGGTCTCTCAAAGCACACTGCAAGTTGCTGTGTCTGCAGCACTGACTGGGCTGAGAGCCACTTGAGCTCCCTGGAAGCCAGAGACAAGTGAGTTATGGTGAGATGGGCCAGCAAACAGGCTTTGAACCCTTGGAACACCTGCTGGACAGCATGAGATGGAGATGTTCAGCAGGATCCTTCTCAAGGCAGGTTTGTGTGTCTGGTTCCTTGTGCTTGCACTCTTCCTTTGTTTGGTAAGTACTGGAGTATCTGTTTCCCTCCTTCCTCTCTCACCCTGGGTAAAGAGATGTCCCATTGTGAGGACAAACAAGCAAACAAAAATCCCACACTGGTGTGCTTTCAGATTCATCCCTAGAGCCCCCCAGCTCTGACTCCAACCTCAAACTGCTGCCTTCAGTGACGTCCTCAGCCAAAATAATAAGATACAGCACAGCTTTTAATGACAAAAGCAGAAGCCCCAGCAAGGGTGATATATTGCCTGCCCTATTTCCCCCAGACATTTAAAGCATCCATACCTGTGTAAATGAATCTTCCAGGCGTTCCCTTGCAAAACTGCTTAGACTTGTAGGACAATGTGACTTCTACAACCCCTGGGATGTGTCGGGGAGGCGTCTGTACACGGATGGCATGTGGAGTAATCAGCTAGAGAAAACATTGGGGAGGGAGAAGAAAGAGAAAACAAGCACTGTTAGATGCTGAACGCTTCTTTAATAAGAGTTTCCTCGCAGATCACAGTAAATAAGCTTTGAAACATGTAATTAACCTTTCAGTGTTTGAATGCAATCTTGATGTAACCCACACAAAAGGCAGTGACCACAATATTTACAAGCATTCTTGTAACAGCATTATTCCTGTTTTCATACATGGCAGGCACTTGCTTCCTAGTACAAGCATCAGCCCTGGTGTAATGTAATAACTCCAGCCTACAGCAGCAGGACACTTTGCTCAGATGAATTCTGGGGTCATGACAGTGTCCAACAAACCAGATCCATAAATGACACGTGATTACAGGTGTGAACATGGCCCAGCACAAGTCCAAGGTTTTAAATACTCCAGTCCCCAGCTGACATCTGTGCACTGGCAGAGCACCCTGTGCTACTGTTTTAATTTTCTGTTCATTTTGTGGAGGTGTAACTGATTCCTGTAGAAATGCAAATCTTGGCTTCTAAAGGACGCTGGATCTTTCCTTCAAAATTATGAGAGCACTCAAAAATGATGTACCAAAGAAAACCATCTAACCATCACTTCCAGTCTGCCTTCTCTGCAATAACTGACATAATCTGAGGGGGCTTCTTCAGGTGTGGATTTACACAGAAATCAATAAATAAACTTGACTTTCTTTTTATTGGGGCAGGGGATTCTGATGCTCTTGGCACAAAAGTTGGGGTGGGTCAGTGCTGCATTTTCTAGGCTCTAGACTATTTTTGGTTTTTCAGGGTTATAGGCTGGATTTAAAATGTGGTCCCTCAAATGAGTAGTAGAGCCATCTAGGAGTTCACTAATTCAGAGCAAGATTAACTCAAATCTCTGCTGCTCTCAGAAGCTACAGCATTGTCTTCCTCATCACCAAAATGTCCTCTTCTCACTCATTGTGCTCCCTCAGAAAAAACAGTAAAAAGAGGTTCAGAGAAAAGATGACAGGATTGTGTCCAACAACCAAGATACAGCTCTGGCACATGGATAATCCCTCTCTGCCTGTGGCCTATTAATGCACCTCTAGAGAGGCAAATAAAACCAAGACCATAACCTGGCTTGACAGGTTATAAGCAAAGTGTGAGCACCCCATGCAGTCAACTGCTCTATGCTCTTGGTCGAATCATATCCTGGATTAAGGAATAAATTTCAATAGATTTTTTTTTTAATAAAAAGCTTGTTTTGTTCTTATTTTTACTAGGAAGCAAATGTTTCAGCACTGTAGTAAGGCCCTACCAAAAAAAACCCCAGACTTTGATCCAGTTCTTTGTTTAGGGCATGGGACTAAAAAAGAGCACAGAAGGAGAGTAATATCTGTCTGAGAGCCATCTGTGCTACAGAGGGAAATGGCACACACAGTAGGGAGCTCTCCATATTTAAAATAAGAAAATTAATATTAAATCAAGTTGAATGTTAAAACCAAAACTACCAGCATCAAATGCTCCAAAAGTTATTCAGATCCACAGAAGTCAGAAGCCACATGTCATTTTAGAAATTATCATGTAGGGGTTGATGTCTTCTTGTTTGGGAGCTCCAAAAGTATGTTTGCAGGCTCTGCTTTGGAATCATGTGGTTTAGAAACTCACTTACTTTTAAAAGAAACCTGCCTTTTTTTTCTAAATTGCTCACTCTATCAATTTGGGAAAAAACCTAAAAATTAAAATAAAAACCAAAACCAAGCCCCAAACTTCCACAGAATGCTTTTACTTAAACTGAGTTGTCTTGCAGTTGAGTTGACCAGAGCCTAAAAGCCCAGGCCAATTCTCTCCATGCCCTAAAAAGCCAGCAGAGGCAGAAGGCAGTGCCAAGCAGCAATTGATTCCTAGTGCTTCAGACACCTCTCAGATTGGGATGAGCCACTCCCTGGAAGCTTCGACCCTTCCCCACTGAACTAACATGACAAGCTTAGACCATTTGCTCAACTGTAAGCAGCCAAACATAACTGAGATAAATCCCATCCTTGAGTGGTTCTGGTTAACTGGGTGAACTGGCAAGATGAGAAAAAATTTTTGACATTTTTGGGAAAAAATATTTGTAAAAACAGCCAAGGATTTTAGTAGTAAAGGTTAACACGCTCATCTTACTACATCAGTGTGAGCCTTGCATCCCTCACCCCCATTCTGGCATGAGCTATACAGGCAGCTTCTGGTTGTATCTTTGAATTTCCCAGCATTTACTGGTCTGTCACCACTTTAATGTTCTTTAAACATAATTTGTGGCATTTTCCAATACTCATCTTCCCTGGTTCCCAAGAAACGTCTGACCTATTTATGGTCCATTGTTACAGAGAGCTGGGGAGAGTTAAGCAAGTTTCCTGGTTTGTTCTCCACAAACAGTTTGGTTTTTCTTTGTGCTCTGAAGTAAATAAGTTTAACTGTGTTTAAAACCACAAATATACAATAATGTCGCCCACACATTCCCAAAGGGTGAACATTATGTCTGAAGTCCTATGGTTTAGGACACTCAGGATGTATTTTATTCCTCTTTTCCCTACAACTAAAGCTTGGGAGGTATACCAGGAGAATACATGTGCCTTTTCCTTTTGCTTTTTCTCCATCACATCTGTCATTGACCACTGGCAGGGATTTGGTGCTGGGCCTTTGTTCTGGGTCAGCCCTCAGGTCTCCTGCACACAGAGGGATCTGGGCAGCTTGGTTACACACCAGGAGTTCCCTAGATTGCTGTCATAGCAGGAGATTGGCTTTAAGGGACAAAAAATGTTTCCTTGCACATTGAAACCTCCCACCTTGGATCTCAGATTCAGGTTCCACAGCTCTGCCAGGATCTGCTATGGACTGGGAGCAGCTCTCCAAATTGTCCTGTCTCTGGTTTGCAATCCAAGTGACCCAATTGGTGCTGTACATCTCTGGGCAGTCCAAGCCCATCCACAGTAAAAGCAGATCTGCCTCTGCCTTCCATAACTCCAGAATTATGGGATGCTTTCCTGTCAGCTTGGGGCCTGATGTGGGGAACCTACTCCACCTTTTCTCCTTTCACACTGACATAGCCTGTTCCTTCTTCAGGGTGCAATCTGCCTCATATTTACATGCAAAGCATCTGGAAGAGGTGAGCTATTACACCCAGGGGTATTAAAAGTGAAGACACCACTTTTGGATGCCTCTGAGCCCCAGCTGGAAACTGGTAAAGAGTTTTGGGGAAGCATCATGACATGGTCACCCTGTTGTTTTTAGGCATCTGCCCTTGCCCAGTGACAACCACAAGACCCTGAGGTAGATGAGCTCCCTGTGTGACCCAGCAGGGCCAGTTGTGCATCCTCACCTCAGCTGAGAACTCTTGGTGGATGAACAGACTCCAAAAGAACAACATGCCAAGAACCAAGAATCCCTAAATATGAATTATGCCCCTTTCTGAATTTATTTTTAAATATAAATCTTGAGCAAGGCGTTAACCTGTAATTTGGACATGAACCCAGCAGACAAAATTCCCAGATCCATCTTCCTCCTCCTTTCCAGCATTTAGCAAATTGAGAAATGGAGCTGGACATAAAATTAGTAACTGGACCTTTCTCCCAAGGGATTTTCAAGTGATTTGGCCTGATACTTAACAACTGCATTTGTTGTTTGGTATAAATTCTTACTTGTCATCAGGGACATACAGTGGGTTGCACTAAAACCTGAGTTAGGGATCTTTTGAATGGTGGGTGGTGCCTGGCCTTCAAAATCCAAAACACATTTGGGCTGAGTGTGTACAACAAGCCTCTTTCTGTGGTTTGCTAATATATTCTAGGCATTCTTGTGTGATACAGCATCATTTCACACTCTTCAGAGTGCCAGGTTACTTTCTTTTTTTAAAAGTGACATTTTATAAGGAGATGTCATTAATCTGAGTCACTAGTTTATTTTTGCATGCTTGAGCTCTGGTTTGTGGTTAGGGAAATGGTGACAATCAGTCATAAATTTGACTTTGACTCTGTGTGAAGAGGACCATTAGAACAGGAATGAAGAAAAATCCCACCAACTGAAGGTAATGACAGCTTTCAGTGAGAACAGAACCCTTAGGGTACCTATATTTTAAAAAACAACCAATGACTTTGCATGCCTCAATTCTGGGCATCCAGATGCTGCTTAATAAGCCTTGGTTTGCAAAAAGAGGGTGCCTACTCATTTTTTAAAAATGAGTCAGAGCTCCAAAATAAGCACTCAAAGCCAGAGACTTCCAAAATCAATAACAAACATAAAAAGCAAAATAACAAACTGTGTCACAGAATTTGATTCAGCAGCAGTAAAAAAAAAAAAAAAAATACACAAAAAAGCCACCAAACCAAAAAATCATCCTCTGTTTTTGTGCTGTACAAAGGTAAAAAAAAAAAAAAAAAAAAGATGTTTCAGTGCTTCATCTTTTCTTAATATAAAAGAAAAAGAAGTTGTTTCCAGCTGACTCTGTACAGCTGCAGGAATGTTCTTGGCAGGAAAATGTTTGAAGAAATAGTTCATTTTAAGCAAATATTGTGGAATATTTATAAGAAACTAATTTTGTCTTCACAATCATGTATTTGCCCTGCAAGTCGACTCTCAGAGCCTGAGCACCCCAACGGGAGAGAGAAATAAGAAGGGTTCTTATCAGCAGGGCCAGTTTGGAATATCTGTGAGCATGCAGGGACCCAGAACCTGGGTGAAACCCCCCAGATTGCAGCTCTGAGTGTGTGTGCACGGCACAGACAGGCAGCAGAGCCTGTCTGGCACACAGAATGTTTGCTGGGAGGCTCTGAGCACACCCAGCATGTGCACACGATAGAGCAGCGCTGTTTGCTTGGCGGTTACGAAAGTCCCTTGGAAAAAAAAAAAGGCATTAGACAGCCCATTCTGCTGTATTCTAAAAATACCAAGGGCTTTTAAAGTCATTTTTCTAAAGTAATATGGGAGGTAAGGATTAATTGAACCTACTGGCTTAGGGTATCTGCATTTCTGCTCAAAATTAATGTGACAAATTAAGTTTTTATTTAGTTCTCCCTGGCTGAGAAAGGTTGCAATTATGTTAGAGTGTTTACAGCTAAAATATATGTTTAAATAATAAATATGTGTTTCAGAAACCATTTTAAAACTCCTTTTTTAACACAGTCAACTCCATTTCAAGCATATAAATATTTCAATTACAAAACTTGAATACATGTAAAATAAATTAAAAATATATTATTTACATTTCAAATTATTTATAACATGCTGCTTGACAGCAACAAATTCACTCTTAAAAGGAAGTTGTTTGGGGTTTTTTGACTCTTAACTTTACTTCTGAATTAGGGTAGGATTTATATTTTAAATATCCATGCAGCTCAGGTATTTACATGGATTTTGCTATAATAAAGTCTGAGTAATACAGGACCTTTATGATAATTACCTTCACAGCACCTCTCCAAAGAAGGTGACTAATCTTATTACTGTTTTAGAGAAAGGGAATTGAACTTTAAGTAGATTATACGATTTGCCCAAGGTCCCATGCAAAGTCTGTAGCAAAATGATGCTTAATTTCAATATTAGACTTCATCCCCAAACCACCTGCAATTATAGCTGAAACTGAAGCTGGAAAAATCCACATGAAAATGCTCTGCAAGACTCATTCTTTTTTTTAGTCTCTGCTTATCTGGTTTTGTTTGGGATTTTCTGAAGCCCAGTTAAAATTATGTTTTGTTTGGATCCATGAAACAACAGGATGAACTTTAAAATTTGTCCAGAATTCAATGAAAAAATAACCTGGCTGACTTTGCTCATAACTGGGCCTTACTGGCAACTCAGGATGAGCCTGCTCCAGTTCTGTAATGGACTCAGATTCAGAGGTTTGACAGTTCAATTTTATACTCTATTAAAGTAAAACAAAAATGTTCTTTTTGGGTACTGAAAATTCCTTAGACATTTTTAGAAATGGGAAGGCAAATGAAAGAACTTATTTTGTACTTCATAGGTGGCTTGTATGTGTAACTTGAATTATTTATAGATCACTATTATTTAGGGATCACTCGGCTCATGCATTTCTGCACTTGTTTACCGTGTTTGTCTGCTTCTTTTAGAAAAAATGGTTTTTTCTCCTATATGATTTTTGACTGCTCTCATAGGTTATGAAATGAGAAGCAGTTCTGTAAGAGGGAGGCAGTGAGAGAGTTGCAGCCCATTGCAGCATTCCCAGACAACAGACCGGCTTCAGTCTGGACCTCCTCTAACATTATTAATTCCATGGCAAGGCCTTGCAAACATCAGCAACAATGTTTTGACCAGCACTCAGTCTCCTGAGATTAGAAATTGACAATTAATGGCTTCCACTAATAAATAGAATCAAGATTTATAATGAAAGATCCAATTCTGCAGCACCAGAATCGGAGCAGTTTCCTCCCAGCCCCTTCACCTTTCCCTGCTAAATGTCTGCAGCCATAATGGCTTCAATAGTAACATACAAAATGCTTACACTGGGCCCAGGGGGCACTTTCATGATCACATAAGGGCTTCAGAACAGGGCTCATTTACTATCTCTCTTTTTCTGAAATGCCCTTTCATCCACACTTGTCCTCAAGTGGAAGGATGAGAGAGAGAATGGTGAAGGACATTAGAGAATACTCTTCACATGGAAAAAATGCTGCCATATGTGCAATGGAATCAGTAGGGGGAATGTGCAGGATATAAATTAAGCTGTGGTGATGATTTAAGATTTATAGGATGTAAGGTAAAGCATCAGAAGATCCTCTCACCATTGGGAAGTGTTGCACAGATATTTCAGGGAGGCTGGGTTTTTTTTTCAGTATTAAAATAATGAAAATTACAATTTCTCATTAAACCTCAAAAATGCTTTTGGAAAGCCCTAAGTCTAAAATATAAACCTTTCCTTGGAGCTGTCTCCCTGTGCCACTGGGGGAACTCTGCCATGGTGTCTACAGCCCTGGCCATGGCCATTGGGGTGATGCTGCCTGGGTTTTAACTTTGCACAGTTTTTTGGGGAATGTCAGGCTCCACAATTAATTATGTGCTGGGAAAAGACAGGATTTAAGGAGCTGGGAGGAATAACAACAGAAAAAAAAATGGATAAGAAACAAGGAAAGGGCTCCTGTGAAACTACAGGGGCCCCTGCTAGGTATGAGGAGTCCACTGTGGATACAATGCAGTGCATTTGTTTGCTGCTATGAAAATGATATATACATCAAGTATCCAGGCTTTAGGGATATGCTGTTCAGAGGTGCTGAATTCTGCAATCTCCACCTCACTGAGCTGCAGCTACCAGCAGCCAGTTTCCCTGGAAAGTGGGATCACCTAAATGTTTGCTTCCTGTGGGCCCTTAGCTATTGTAGCGCTAAACACAGAATTATTCACATAGGCCTTTATCCTCCCCTTTCTTTGGAATAAAACCCACTGAGCTAAATTCTGGGCCAGCACAAGAAGATGCAAATCTCCCTGGCTATAATGGGTTCCTGCCACAGGTAAATTTGACTAATTATTTTCATAGAACTGAGCAAGGCAAGGATTCCTGTGTCGACATTTGTTGCTGATTTAGCATGTGGCCCAGAGAAAGGACAGGCTGGCTACAAGGAGACAAAGCTGTGAGACATTAGCTATGAGACAACACCTACCTCACTCCAAACCAGCATGGTGCCGAATATGACCTGTAACCCATCAAAGAAATTGTCTCCTATGATGATGACAGTGGCACCTCCTGTAGTCCATCCTTCACTTGGACTGATGGCTTTGATACATGGTGTAGCTGCTTTTCAACACACATGAAAAAGAGAAGTATTCTGCTGTTAGAACTGGATTTTAATGATAGAAGACGTGAGAAAAATAAAATAAAAGGAGCTTTCATTTCCCCCCCTTACTAACACAAAGATTTCAGCAATCACATTCTTTATAGTACATATGCATGACCTCAAATTCTATCTTTGGAAGTATTTTTTTCCTTAATTAATTTCTGTTTGGTTTTATTATCTGCATTGAAAAAAATATTTTTTTTTAATTCTACATTAGCAAAAAAATGACAGCATGATGGGCAGAGACCAATTGGAAATCAGGACACATTCCTTTTTTTATTGTATATGAAATGCACAAGACCTAAGTTAATAAAACAATCTCCAGTAAGCTTGCTTTATTATCCATCAGAACCCAAACTCACCAAGGAAACTCCCATAAATATTATGGAAAATATTGGCAAAATAAAAAAGGGTGTAACCCTCAGCATTTCTCTAACTGTTCTGCAATCAGATCCAGGTTGTTCAGTATTAAACCATCCTGCCCTGATTAATGCTTTGGCTACTACAAAAAAAAACAACACCCCACAACCAAAAGCCACAGCTGCCATCCACTCATTCCAGTTGTATTGCATCTACAGGATAAACAAGATGTGTGTGCAACACATTTTGCCATATCCATGGAGTCTCCCAGCCACTTTCTTGGCATTGTATCTACTCAGAGCCTCAGAGGATGTTGAAAACCCAAGTGTTGCTCAGATCTTGGGCTAAGAGCTTCTGGTTTGAGACTCTGTAGGCAAAAGCAGCTCAAATATTGGTGGGCTGGGGCGGTATAAACATTCACATATTGATTCTCCTCCTCTGCAGCACAGGGGCACCTTGGAATTTAGCAGTGCTGAAGCAATAGAAATAACATTGCTGTAAAAATAGGCAGAAAGCCCTGGGTAACTCCACTCCTGCTCCTCCACAACCCTGTGGAGTGTCAGGGTGGTCACACAGGTTGATGGAAAGAAGCAACTTCACCCAAGATGCTACCAACTTTTCCTTGTATGAGGTGAGAATATGGCACTGGTAACATTAGATAACATTTTAAGTAAGGCAGGTACTTCAACAATTTCATTACTCATGGAAAACAGGTTAAAGGAGCAGCATAACTCCACTAGTAAACCTCAGTGCTGGAAAGAATTATTCTTTTCTGAAGATGTGAAGCCAGAGGGAAGAGGCTGCACTGCAAACTCAGGAATGGGTGCCAATGCCCAATTTTAGGGTTGGTGCCATTTGGCTGTGAATTGCTACTCGATGGAAAGGCTGATTGAACTGTTAATTTGGTTTGTAACTTTGATTATTTGATGATGTACTCCAGGAAGAACACTCAGGCACTTCCTCAGGTAAGGACTTAGTACGAAGATGGGGATATTAAAGCCACTGTGTGTTAGCACCATCCAGGATAAAACCCTTACCCTCATGAGTTACTCAGTGTGGCAATGTATTGAGTTACTTAATGAGGCACAGCCCCTGTCCTAAATTCTTCTAATTGTAAAGACAGGAAATTAATTCTTTCACAGAAGCCTAATTCAAAATGCTCCAGACATAAAGTGCTAAAGAGACCCAGCGCATCTTTATGATTCCTCAGTGAAGTTCTGGTTGGTTGGAGCTGATTGCAAGAGGCAGTGTGGCTGCTGGGAAGCTCCTTCCCCCCAGCCCCTGGGCAGGGAGGGTGGGTGGGGAGCTGGGAAGCAGGAGGGAGCTGGAAAAGGAGCAGTTGAGTCACCCTGAGCAGAGTTTGTGTGAGCACTGCCCCAGCCTCACACCACTGGTGGTGGCAGGCACAGATGGGGAGCAAACCGACCCCAGCCCTACCTACAAAAGGTTGCAAGTGTCAGAACAAACTTTTCCACTACTTAAGCTGATGGGGATGCCAGCTCTAGGGAAAAACACAAACAGGCAGCAAAAAAAATCATTACCCTACTCCAAACTTGGCAGAGTACAGCCATTAACTTTTACATGAGCTAACAAAAGAAACATCCTGACATTACCGTCACGAAAACGTAGCGCACACACAGAAGTTACTTCAATATGTTTAATTTGGATTCAAATTACTTGCATAAAACTGTGCATAAAACCCACTGAGATGTCCAAAAGCAAATGCTTTTCCTTCAGCCAAGCTCACAGCAACAGATTTACAGTGAAAGCAGCTTTTCAAAATGCCATCTAGCCCTTTCACAGAATCAAACTTTTTCATAAATAAAAATTAAAATCCCTTCCAAATTACACCCTTTCCAGTATTCCCAGTTGATTGTGGACACATACCCCCCACAATAAAACCCAGAGGTAATCAGTTTCCCATGTGTCAGAGAATGAGCTACTTTTCTTAAAGACTACAAGCAACATTTTTTTTCCTAAATACCAATGAATAAAAACTATTTGAGACCATAAGCCATTAACAGAAAACATATGCAGGCTTTGCTGGAAGGGTTGTCAAGCACTGGAAGAAGCTGCCCAGGGAAGTCACCATCCCTGGAGGTATTTAAAAGCCATGTAGATGTGGCACTTGGGGACATGGTTCAGTGGTGGGCTTGGCAGTGCTGGGTTTACAGTTGGACTCAATCTTAGATGTTTTTTCCAACATAAATGACTCTACAATTGAAAATTATAGATTCAAGTAATCTTTAAAGTGAATGCAAGATACTCTTGTGCACTTACAGGACCCCACAAAAAACTCTTTGCACTCAGAGGTTGAAGTTGCTGCCCTGTCAGTGCTGCCCCATGTATTTGATTCTAGTATTTTATAAATGTATTTGCTTCATATCAAACATGAGCCAAGTCCCATCCATGGGAGCCAGGGGGACTGAGGCAGACACTCAGGGCTCTGTGCTGAGCTGGGGCTGTGAGCAGGACTCTCTCACCTGCAAAGCCACTGTGACCAACAGCACATGGCATTTTATTTACATATGTGGAAATTGTGCTGAATCAGTGCCTCAACAAACCTGCTGGCAATAGCCCAGGACATCTCTGAGGATAAAAAGTCTGGACTTGGTGGTTTAATCACCAGGGCAGGATGGTGCCCTTTGCAGGCCCAGCCTGAGATGGAGCAAGAGCACTGTGCATTCCCAAAAGATTTCATTATTTTCTCATGCCACAAAAACCAGAGGGACTCCCCAGCTTTCCCCACACAACCTCTCTTATTTTAAGTGTCTGTAGAGGTTGGAAGGGCTGCAGGAGGTGCTGCCCAGCCAAGGAAGTGGCTCTGAAGGGCTGCATCCCAAGGAAGACGTGCTGAGGGAGGCATCCAGACTGCTACCTGTTTTTGAGGGCACAAACCATGTTTATACAATGACATATTTGCAATAACCAGTGCCATTCAGGACACTGGTCTGTCTAAAACTTTGCCCTTTCCAGGCCCTTTGTTTGGAGCACCAAGGAGGATGGAATTGGGTCCCGTTGGCAGCATCACCCCAGGTAACACTGGGAGGGGGCAAGGCAGTGACCTCAGCTCTATTTCTGCCCCTGGTACAAATGTCTGGCCAGCTCAGGCCCTCAGCTCTTCATATTTCTGCTCTTAATCACTTGGCAACCTTCAAAGCACCGTCTGGAAGGTGTTTACTTCTGTGCAACCCTAGGAAAACAGAGCTAGGCAGAATAATCTTTTCACTGGAGGCCTTGATTTTTCTACATTTTGTTTTGGTCAGAAGACAAATCAAAATATAAAACTTTTCTTTTTTTTTTTTTTTTTTTTTTTTTTTTTTTTTTTTTTCAGAATGCCAAGTTCCAGAATCTCTACTTAGAATTAACTATAACACTTTTTAATACCTCCAAGAAAAACAAAATGTTTTGTTTCAAAATATTTTCACTTCTCATGCTCTTCTGTAACCCCAAAGCATAATTTCTGAAATGGTGTTTTTAAAACAAATAGAAAAAAAGGTTACATAAAATTTAAATTTTTCTGTAGAAAAAGAGTTTTTAGTCCAAGTTTGAAGCTTCACTGATAAAAAAATACAGTGAATGACTTTAGACCAGTCCTAATCAAGGCAGTGAAGTGTACATGATTGATAACATGAACAGACTTTAAGTCCAGGGAAGAATTATAACAAAAAAAAAAGGAATAATTGCTCATTCCTACATATAGGAAGTTTTCTCTTGTTGTTGTTGAATGAACAGCTGGAAGCCAAGTACAATAAGAACCAAAGAGTTTGGTAGCCCAGCTATCAGACAGGATTTTCAGACTCTTTGGTGTGAGTGTGTCACATTCATTGTGTTTCCTCAGAGCAGCTGGGCTGAGGGAGAACCAAACATCTCCCTCCAGCTGCAGCAGGACCTTGCAGCTCCTCACTGAAGGTGATGTGGCCACATCCTCCACCTGCTGAAAGCCCTAAGGGTTGGGAGCCTCCATGAGCTGCTCTCCTTGTTTGCACAACACCAGGGAAAGTCAGAGCCCACCCGTGACAGTCCCACCGTGCTGCTCCCATGGGCCAGGCTCAGACAGAAGTGGCAGAGGAGGATCTGCAATCCCAAACTTACTGAGGCCATTGGGGATCCTGCCACTGGCTTCAAAGCTAAGGGCTCTATCAATCAATGTTAAGGATTTATGAGCAAAAACCTTAATGGCTCCAAGGAAAACAACGTTCTTATGAAATCTTCGTTTTTCTCAATGTACACATTGTTACAATCTTATCACCTCCCATGCAAAGGATGGCAGGTCCCCACTCCAGCACATGGGGAGCAAAAAAAGGAAAAGTTTTTTGTTGTGTGCTGCGTGTGCCGGTGTGTTCCTGTGTTCCCACACTTCCCAGCTACTGATACACAGGGATTTTTCTTCCCTCAAACTGTGACAATAAAATGATTACCCCGCCACAGTTTAGCATAATGGTTCAGAAACGCTCGTGGCATATTGCAGAGTTAAAGTGGAAATTATTAGGTAGCTCTTCTTTGTTATAATAATGATCACTCCACAAATAAAAGCTCTTCTCCCAAAGGTACTGCAAGGCACAAAATGCTAATTCTGAAGATTATGTGTGCGCTTTTA